TCCATTCTATTTTCAATGATGTTGTCCTACTTAAAAACAAAGATATATTATACAAGTAGTGGGTGATAAATATACCTTACTCTTTAATAAAAGATCCTCCATTCTATTTTCAATGATGTTGTCCTACTTAAAAACAAAGATATATTATACAAGTAGTGGGTGATAAATCTACCTTACTCTTTAATAAAAGATCCTCCATTCTATTTTCAATGATGTTGTCCTACTTAAAAACAAAGATATGTTATACAAGTAGTGGGTGATAAATCTACCTTACTCTTTAATAAAAGATCCTCCATTCTATTTTCAATGATGTTGTCCTACTTAAAAAGAAATATATATTATACAAGTAGTGGGTGATAAATATACCTTACTCTTTAATAAAAGATCCTCCATTCTATTTTCTATGTATACATAAAAATTACTAATTTAAAAAAAAATAAGTTTTTATTGCTGGAGATTAAAAAAAACAATACAGTTTCACAGTTTCAAATTTTGAGTCAGTTAAATGAGCAGAAAGAATCTCGATATCACAACACGAAAACTGTTTTCCAAGCAGTTTTACAAAAGGTATTTAAAGGCACAAGCTATCGCTACAGAAAACGTTCAGGTGTTAATAATTTACTTACCAACTAATCACTTCACTGAAAAATGATTGTGTTAACAAAGTATTTCACACATTCATAAAAAACAGTATTTACAATAACATTACAAACATTTTATGATAGCTGCCCAAGTACTCGACACGAATATCTTAGTAAAACGAGGAAAGAAAAAAACCCATTATGGATGAAAACAGCTGGTAAACCCTCCTCCGCCTCTGTCAGTACCAGTGGACCGTTCCGACGCTGAGCTCGAGCGAAGATGGTACCTTTACCCAGAACTCTTCCGATCTTTTAAACGTGTCACCGCCACAGTCAAGTCCAAGCACCAGGGGAATAAACACTAACCAACCCGATCACTCTCGTTTGTCGCTAGAAGTTTAAAAGACGTTGAAATCATTGATAAATGTAACAATTATAACTTTTAATGAAACTAGTAAATGTAAGCATCGTGCCATGGTATATCATAATGTCCTGTTTACCGCTACTAGTGCAAGTAAACAAAGGTAGGAGGCAATGAATTCATTGAATTTATTATTTGCAAATACACTTCAACTGTGACACTCTATTTTGTATTATCTAACTAAAATTGTCTAAATCATCGTACGGGATTTATTTTTTTATAAAGCATTTTCGTAAGCTTGTTTCTATGTATTATATTAAGAAATAACAACATATTACTTCTACCAATTTAGCATTAATATCAGCAAACAACATTTTGTTTATAACGATTTAGCATTAATATCAGCAAACAACATTTTGTTTATAACGATTTAGCATTAATATCAACAAACAATATTTTGTTTATAACGATTTAGCATTAATATCAACAAACAATATTTTACTTCTACCAATTTAGCATTAATATCAGCAAACAACATTTTGTTTATAACGATTTAGCATTAATATCAACAAACAATATTTTGCTTCTACCAATTTAGCATTACTATCAGCAAACAACATTTTGTTTATAACGATTTAGCGTTAATATCAACAAACAATATTTTGTTTATAACGATTTAGCATTAATATCAAGAAACAATATTTTGCTTCTACCAGTTTAACATTAATATCAGCAAACAACATTTT